CTAAAGCAGTCAGGTCGGTCGTTCCCTGCCAGTCAACCGCTTCAGGGCACCGAAGTGGCTCCTCTAGTGACACCAGAGGCCAGTCTCGAGAGACTGGTTCCCTTAGTAGACTTTCTGACAGCGTGGAAGCTTCTGCCAAATGTCTCACAATGGGTCCTGCACACTGAAGAGAGAGGTTACAGAATTCAGTTCGGTTCTCATCCACCTCGCTTCAACGGGGTTATTCCAACATAACAGCAGGCTCGGGTATTGGATCAAGAAGTAGAAACTCTCTTGAGGAAGGAGGCCATAGAACCTGTTCCTCCTCTCTCAAGAGAATCATGGTTCTACAGCTGTTACTTCATTGTTCCGAAGAAGGATGGGGGGTTGCGTCCGATCATAGATCTGTGTCTATTGATCTTTCACCCCTGCCCGGAGTTATGGAAGTTGTGGGCGTGGCCCCTGAGGGGGCACAGCTCATAGCACCCGGTCTCTCAACTGAGGTTGTTGAGACCATTCTCCAGTTCAGAGCTCCCGCCACGCCTTGAAGTGGAAACTTTTCACTTCTTGGTGCGGACAGTGACTGCAGGACCCAGTCAACTGCCCAGTTGGTTCAGTTCTGGAGTTTCTGCAGGAGCGATTCTCCGCAGGGTTATCTCTCTACTCTGAAGGTTTACGTGGCGGCCATAGCTGCTTACCATGCCCTTCAGGGTGGTCAGTCATTGGGGAAACACTCGTTAGTTACACGTTTCCTCCGTGGCACACGGAGACTGAGGCTAGTACAGCGCACCAAGGTGCCCTCATGGGACCTGGCAGTGGTTCTGGAGGCTCTGTGCAAAGTTCCCTTTGAACCCATTGAAGATATCTCTGACAAGCTCCTCATGCTTAAGACGATATTCTTATTCGCTATATCCTCACTGAAGAGGATAGGGGACCTTCAGGCACTCTCTGTATCGTGCCTGGAGTTCGCCCCGGGCATGGCTAGGGCACCATGTCCTTAAAGTGCCCACTTCCTTGCCGGGTCCCATTGTACTGCAAGCCTTTTGTCCTCCTCCCTTCCAGGAAGCAGGCCAGGAAAGACTCAATCTGCGCTGCCCAGTGGTGTAAGGCAGATCAGTTATTTGTTTGCTTTGGTCCACCTAAGAAAGGGGTTCCAGTGACCAAGCAAACGTTGGTGGGTGGTTGAGACCATCACACTGGCCTATGAGTCATCTGGCCTCCAGTCACCCATAGGGGTCAGAGCGCACTCGACTAGGGGTATGGCGGCCTCCAAGGCCTTATCAGTGGGCGTGGCCCTTCAAGATGTTTGTGCTGCGGCAGGCTGGTCCTCTCCGCACACATTCACCCATTTCTACAGCCTGGGCCAGACGCTTCATCTATCTTCCTCCGAGGAGGTTGATGTGATGAGCGTCGACACGGAGGAGATTGTGGACTCGCCACCACAGTCCCTTGCATATGAGGAGCCCGTGGAGGTTGTTACTCGTGCTGTAGCTAAATTAAATATCGAATGGCCAGCCGAGAAACAGGATGCTCGTCCCAAGAGCAAGTTGGACGAGCGTTTCCTTAAAGCCAGATCGCAACCTTCACGTCGGGGCCTTCCTTTTTTCCCCGATCTCCATTCTGAGCTTTCGAGATCGTGGGATAAACGATATTCGTCCCACAGTATCCAATTATTCTAACATCACAGGGCTGAATGAGAAGGGATATGGGGCGATGCTGGTGGTGGAACAGACACTCGCGAGCTATCTGTCCCCATCCTCAGCATCATCCCTGAAGGCCCCGAAGCTTCCCACTAGGACAGTAAGACTGACATCCAGCCTGGTTGGGAAAGCGTATACGGCGGCAGGTCAGGCCGGTGCGTGTCTGCACACTATGGCGGTGTTGCAGGCGTACCAGGCCGACCTGCTAAAAGACCTGGATGATAGGGAGGAAGAGGAATCCGACGTAGTCGTCGAACTCTGTCGGGCCACAGACCTGTCGCTTCGAGACACCAAGAAAACGGCCAGAGACATGGTGGTGGCAACGGAGCGACACCTGTGGTTGAATCTGTCCGAACTGCAAGACAAGGACAGATTCTTCTTCCTGGATGCCCCGCTATCATCTTCTGGCCTCTTCGACGGTGCAGTCGATACTGTCGTCGAGAGGTTTTAGGAGGTGAAGAAGCAAGCAGCGGCATTCCAGCGTTTCCTCCCTCGCCGCCCCCAGATCTTTGGGACTGCTGAGTCTAGCTCCTCTAGCTCCTCATACCGCCAGACCCAGAAGCAGAGTGTCGTGACCCGTACAACCCCCCGCATCAGGGGGCGGGGCCCTGAGGGCAGCGCCCCCTAGGGAGGAGAGGTACACACCTCAGTATATGGTGCCCGATCCTCCTCAGTGCCCTCAGGGAGCTTCACTGATACCCCTGCCAGCCCTGGTGCTTCAGGGTTCAGTGGGCTCCCGTGAGCAAATTTCCCAGTTGCCGCCCGGCGACGGTACGGCACGGGAAAGCTCGCCCCCTCAGATGAGGGCGCTAAAGCAGTCAGGTCGGTCGTTCCCTGCCAGTCAACCGCTTCAGGGCACCGAAGTGGCTCCTCTAGTGACACCAGAGGCCAGTCTCGAGAGACTGGTTCCCTTAGTAGACTTTCTGACAGCGTGGAAGCTTCTGCCAAATGTCTCACAATGGGTCCTGCCCCCTGAAGAGAGAGGTTACAGAATTCAGTTCGGTTCTCATCCACCTCGCTTCAACGGGGTTATTCCAACATAACAGCAGGCTCGGGTATTGGATCAAGAAGTAGAAACTCTCTTGAGGAAGGAGGCCATAGAACCTGTTCCTCCTCTCTCAAGAGAATCATGGTTCTACAGCTGTTACTTCATTGTTCCGAAGAAGGATGGGGGGTTGCGTCCGATCATAGATCTGTGTCTATTGATCTTTCACCCCTGCCCGGAGTTATGGAAGTTGTGGGCGTGGCCCCTGAGGGGGCACAGCTCATAGCACCCGGTCTCTCAACTGAGGTTGTTGAGACCATTCTCCAGTTCAGAGCTCCCGCCACGCCTTGAAGTGGAAACTTTTCACTTCTTGGTGCGGACAGTGACTGCAGGACCCAGTCAACTGCCCAGTTGGTTCAGTTCTGGAGTTTCTGCAGGAGCGATTCTCCGCAGGGTTATCTCTCTACTCTGAAGGTTTACGTGGCGGCCATAGCTGCTTACCATGCCCTTCAGGGTGGTCAGTCATTGGGGAAACACTCGTTAGTTACACGTTTCCTCCGTGGCACACGGAGACTGAGGCTAGTACAGCGCACCAAGGTGCCCTCATGGGACCTGGCAGTGGTTCTGGAGGCTCTGTGCAAAGTTCCCTTTGAACCCATTGAAGATATCTCTGACAAGCTCCTCATGCTTAAGACGATATTCTTATTCGCTATATCCTCACTGAAGAGGATAGGGGACCTTCAGGCACTCTCTGTATCGTGCCTGGAGTTCGCCCCGGGCATGGCTAGGGCACCATGTCCTTAAAGTGCCCACTTCCTTGCCGGGTCCCATTGTACTGCAAGCCTTTTGTCCTCCTCCCTTCCAGGAAGCAGGCCAGGAAAGACTCAATCTGCGCTGCCCAGTGGTGTAAGGCAGATCAGTTATTTGTTTGCTTTGGTCCACCTAAGAAAGGGGTTCCAGTGACCAAGCAAACGTTGGTGGGTGGTTGAGACCATCACACTGGCCTATGAGTCATCTGGCCTCCAGTCACCCATAGGGGTCAGAGCGCACTCGACTAGGGGTATGGCGGCCTCCAAGGCCTTATCAGTGGGCGTGGCCCTTCAAGATGTTTGTGCTGCGGCAGGCTGGTCCTCTCCGCACACATTCACCCATTTCTACAGCCTGGACCTGACATCTACCCCAGGGTACCAAGTTCTCTCATCTTGATGTGCTCGCCAGATACAGACCAGACAGGGACTTGCTCGTATGGCGCAGTGGGTAATCTCATCCCCAAAGCGTTTGACGCAGCTCGAGTTCCTGAAGGGGAACGTCTCTAGGTTACATATGTAACCATGGTTCCCCGAAGGGAACGAGATGCTGCGTCTCCCTGCCATACTCCCTGCGTCCCTGCGTCCCTGCAGGCGCTCGCTTCTGCAGAAGCTAACATGTGCGCTTGCCGGATGCGCCTTTATGCTTCCTGGTTGCTCACATCACCCCACTTGTGATGTCTCACTTCTCTATTGGACTGATTTCACACATGCTTCAGAACGTGGTCTCGTCGGGGGCGTTCCCAAAGCGTTCGACGCAGTGTCTCGTTCCCTTTGGGGAACCATGGTTACATACGTAACCTAGAGATGTTTTCACTAGGGAAGCTAGATGGAAATAACCATATTTTAATTTAGTGTTTATATTTTCAACATATCTGTGTTGGTGTTGGTCTGGATGCAAATTTGCCTACATCCAGTTATTGCCAATGAAAAGTATTCATAAAGTCCCAATGCAAATGGACTAAGCAAACATTCATTTTACAGTTGAACTGACTGCACAGAATCTAGAATCTACATGGAAGTCAAACAAGCAGTAAAAATAATTTTTTGAGTGCAGGCCATCTGAAATGCAAAGTTAAACTTGGTTTCAGACCCACATATGGCTAATTAGTGTTTAATAGGAACTAATCGTCCTTGACCATAAATAAAAAAATGCACCTCAGCCTCAAAAATTAATGACATAGTTAGGCATAATCTGTTTGCAATATTTGCCACATATGGACTTCAGAACTGCTAATTTATTTTACAATGTAGTTACTCCATCTAAGACACCTGACAAACAGAACATGTTATTCTGGTGTCCTAGATGGAGTAACAACTGGAGTGATATTGAAACTGGAACATGGTTGTCTGGTTTGTGCTACTATAAGTACAAATTCCAATTTCATCACCCTTTAATGCAGCTTTGGCAAACTGAAGTCCATTAAAGTAACATCCAGAGAAATATTACAGTGACTTGGATGAAGAAAAAACTGAGATCTCCTAAGCAACAGAGACATGAAAAATAAGTGAAAGATTTAACAAGCTTACCCTGGGCCCTCTCTTTCCTGGTAATCCTGGCTTGCCAGGAGGTCCTGTAGGTCCCTGAAAGACAAAAAGGGAGGGAAAATTGTGACAAATGGGTCATTTAGTGGTAAATATCTACCTGCTGACATTGAATTAAATCCCAAACAGGGCAGTAATCCCACTATTGGATGGAGCTAATGAACCCTAGTCAATGTTATAGGATACTTTTTGACTTAAACCATTAAACATGCAAATACATATTGTCTAAAAAAATGAAGATTAAATTGAAAAGAAATTGAAAAAATAATTGCTGAAGTAGAGTATTTTTAAAATATAACAGGTTGAAAACTGGTTTAGAAAAGGCAGGATTTTTCTTTGAAAACGTCTTTGGGAAAACTGAAGTTACATTTTAATCAAAACTGGACTGCCATTGTTTTCAATAAACTGTGTCCATACTGCTGCACTTATTGGCTTGTTTTAATGGCACTGGTTTCAATCACTGGTGCTTATGTTAATTTTGTGCATCATCTAGCTTTGAATCAATTACACACATTAATTAACTGAACTTGCATTTAACAAGAGGTCAGTGTTCATAGAATTGTGTTTTCCTTTCACTTGTTCAGAAGAGAAAAAGAACAAGAGCACAAGCAGGTCTGAAATATCATGTCAAGCATTACTTGTACATCCGGCAAGAACGATCACAAATGTTTGCCAATGTCAGTGAAGGACTTTAATAATTATTGTCCATTTTGATGTAATGTAGCTGCAAGTTTCTTCAGAATTTGCAAAAATGTGTCAGTACCCATCTACAGTAAGTGGCATACTGTACACATCTGATGACAACATTGAGCAAATGGAAAATGTTGCTTTAAAAAGTGTTGCTTACAAATAAATTCTATGAGACAAACCATGGCAATGTTTTGTAACACCTGTAGAGCTGGCAATATCCCACATACTCATACTGAGAGTGATGCTGCCAGGACTCCACAGTGTTTTCAGGTTTCCTGTTTCTACTCATTTTGTAAGGAGCACTAGCTAATAAAAGATCATTTAAAATGTTTATGTTACTAATGTTTTCAAAAACTCTGCTATAAAACTCTAAATAAACATGAATTTCATGAATATGTTGACTTTTTTGGTTTTTGTACAATAAACGTCGTTGTTCAAGTAAAGTGAGCTCTGCCTCACTCAACATTATAATAATCATTAGGACTCTATGGTGTAAGATCAACATAATAAACCAAAAGACATTGTGCACAGAGTGTCTGCTTGATATGAATGAAATTAATATGGTAATTTTGAGCTCCAGAGAGAAAGAAAGACAGAAGATCTCCATTGAGCCCCCTACTCTTTCTCTTCCACGTGGCAAATTTCCTGAATGAAAGCTATCTATTTTTCTCTCTCTGCCTCCAGGATAGTATGAAAAGATTAGAAAAGGAGGAAACAAGGCCTTTTATAGTAGTTGCTTAAGGGGATCGCTCCTGAAAATGCACAGTGCTATCTGTGTGATAGCCATACTGAACGGCACATCTGGTTGTTGTTTGTTGCTGGAAAATAGCTCAGGACTTCACTGTGACTGTATGTACAGTACCATAAACAACACACTGCATACTAGTGTTGGATGAAGTTGGCAGACTTTATAGCAAATATAAGCTCACTTTCAGTAGAGCACAATTCTGCTCCCATCAAAGCTTGTTTTAATTCCTGTCTTGGAAAAGGTGACACTTAAGCACAAGAAATGGAAACTAATCCAGGAAGACTTGTAGTAGTAATTAGCAAGTCTGTTACATGATTGACTGATTTAATTAATTCTTATCCAATAACAATGCATCCTTTGTTTAAATGATTCGCCATCCAATTGATATTAGTTGCTTTAGCGTACCAATGTTGGGTTGCAATGTTTGCAAGCATCTAAAAACCCACCACCACCATTTTGGTCTGTCGTCCTGGTGATGGCTGTTAGGATTCTTTCCCTGCTGACTTCACACTATAGTCACACTATAGCCCTAAATAAGATACTAAATAACATACTTTTTAGTATACATCCTACCAGGTCATCTAAAACTAATGAGAATGTTTTTAGGCTGCTCTGCACTGCAATAAAACTGAAATAAATAAATTTAAAATGATAATAAATTTTTGTTTTGTTTTTCAGTAAACATTCTTAAATAAATATAGATGCACTTGACAAATAAAACCGCATAAGAAATGTAACACTTTTTCTTCTTTTAGAGCAATAAATCTAATCACATTTAGAAAGGTTTATGTTTAAAACAAGAAAAAAATATGGCAATATAAGGTAAAGAACAATAAATAATTCAAGATACATATTCTCTGAAACAATTTTACTGCTCAAGTGAATTTATCTTGTTTCAAGGATGTTTACATATGTTCAGACAAACTGCTGATTAAGATTTTTTTTTTTTTGCAGTGTGTCTCCAAGCCTCTGGCTTGTGACCTCATTATTTAACTACAAGGAAAAAGCGTGTGCATTACACAGACAAAAACCCACCGGCCTGTAATGCCCTTCCAAAGGATTTTATAAACTAGGCTTAAGACCAAGACCACCAAAAGCTCAAAGGCAACAATGATGACACCATTTTCCAGTCTTCAACCAACACTTTGCACCCAGACAAGGTTGTTTAACTAGTAAAAGACGTCGTTGTGTAGTGTGTGTTGTATTATGTATTGAACTCCCTAAGAGGTAATGCAAACCAAATGACAAAGAATTCATATTAATGCATTGCAACAGTCAGCACTTAAATATAACAAATGAAGGCAGATGACAAGGCCAAGGCGCACATAACACATGGCCACAGCCAATAATTCACATTTCACCATTCTTCAAAATAAGCAAAGCAGCACACTTGCCATCTGGCCACCATAAGACACTGTTTAAAAAGAAAGAAAATGGTCTCTATACCATGAAGTGTAAGTGGTCTATTGCAAGATGAATGTCTTGTTGTTACAGTTTTGTAACCTGACTTAGCTTTGAGTATTTAAAAAAGTAAACGTCTTTAAAGTAATCAGGAAAAAATCCTGCTAGAATAACATTTTACTGTAAAATAAATGGATCATTTTACTAGCTGACAGACAAATTACTTGGCTTTTTTGGGGGAGTTGCACCACATGGAAATTTACAGCTTGAACTAACTGCCTTGTCATAAAAAGGTCAAATTATCAGATATTTTAAGAGACTTACTGATTTCCCTGTTGAAAAAAAAAAACAGCATATTCTGGTTAGGTATGTTTTGAAGCATGGCAGCTGGTTTGAGCTGGTCCTTACTTGGTCATGAGCTGGTTTAAGCTGGTTTAAGTTGGTCATGTGCTGGTCCTAAGCGACTAGCTCCTGCTCAGGACCAGCTCATAACCAGTTTATAACCAGCTCATGACCAACTAAGGACCAGCTAAAACCAGCTGCCATGCTTCAAAACATGCCTAACCAGCATATGGTGTTTTTTCAACAGGTTTGACTCACAGTCATGGGGTCCTCTCAACGATAACATTCGTGTTTCATGTTTTTTGCATATTTCTCCATGTTGCTTGGACTACATGACTTTGTTGTATGACTACATGAAAGAACATCCTACCAGTGGTCCTGGTTCTCCTTTCTGTCCTGGTGGCCCAGCCAAGAGGGAGTATTGGGTTGGTTCAAGGTCAAAGGTTTGGAAACCATCCGTTGCTGCAGGAGTGACGGGCTCAAAAGAGCTGGGTTTGGAGGTCTCCTTTGGTAATGGTCTCTGTGATGCTAATGTTGTCATCTCTGACACTCTGGATGTGCTAGAAGGTTTAGGTTTTGTTGCGGCAGGGGTCTGGATATCCAGTTTGTTCTTCTGTTGGCCTGCTGGTGTGGAGTTGACAGCCATCCCGTTCTCTTTTAGTATCTGGGGCTTTACAGTTGCCTTCATGAGGTTCTTCCTGGGACTGCTTTGTTGAGTTGGCTTTGAAGATATTTGTGATGTCCTACTCCCAAAGGAGGCCATGGCAGTTTGTGATGTGGCCTGCAGGGGGAGCTGTAGTGTGGGCTGGGCTATCGTCGGTGGCACCGTGCTTTGTACAGACTGAGACGTAATTAGAACGGAGGTGTTTAGGACTTGTGAGGTTTCATGATTAATGCGTACTTTGTCTTGTGTTAATGAAAGATGTCTGTCGTTTACCTCTGTTACAACATTTGGGGTCTGAACGGTAACAGATATATTGGGATCCAGGGATAATAGTGGTAAAAGAGGAGGGAGGTTTGGCCGATAAGTGTCAGCTTCCCTGCACTGTTTTTTAATGTACTTACAATAATTGTGAGCTGCCTTAGCAGAGGGATGAATATCAAACTGACAGATGGCTCCTTCAAACTGCACTGAGTTCTGACTCGTTTTTCCCAATCGAAAGGAGCCCTCTGGATCCAGCATTTCCTCATTTTTAAAATGCAAATGTGCATGTACACTTGTCTTCCCACAAGAAGTATATAACGTAACCCTTTGGGCCTGGATTTCCAAAGCCAGGTTGTGCCACTGACCATTGTGAACATCATAATCGAACTTTACAGTGTTCTTTTGGCCCAAGTAAACTAAGATTTGGTCAGGGATGAACTGCAGCCCTAGCTGCAGTCTTTTCCTCTTTGTCACAATGGTGAAGAGGAAAGCATTGTTTATGCGATGCGAACATACGCTGAGGATGAGAGAGAACGCCGAGCCCAGTGACGCCGGGACGACGGAGCTCACTGGGATGTCAATTCGCACCCTCTGGGTTAGGATGACTCCTGATTTGAAGGGGATGACACCTTGAGGTGTGGAGCGTGTCCCAGATGGTCGTTTCCCAACCAATCCCAGTCTTTGCAGCACGTCCACATCTACAAAAAGGAAAACCACAAATAATTACCACAGTAATCACTACATGTAGATGGATTTAGGATTTAGGAGCAAAATGGATTTCATCGCAGCCGACTGAAGGCTTGCAGCTGCTGCTCACACACTGAGACACTGAGCTCATTACAGAAACAGATCATTAACAAAAGCATATGTAGAACATATGCGGCAAAGTTAATGTTTCATCTTGGGTAATGCTTCAGTTTTCCATTAAATACTCTGCTGATACTATTACACTTAGAAAAATAACACTGTGTGGGCTTATGTGAGTTTTATAGATTGATCACCTCTACTACAAATTCATTAGATTGTTAGAGGTCTGCAATAAATCAGGTCAAGTGAAGTGAGTGGGAGTATGCATCTCAAACATCCCTGTAAGATTTACAAAACCACAAGCATGTTAGTCTGTATTGATTGAAGTGTTCCAGTTTATTATGTGGATTTGGGTATAAACCTGTAAAAATATATATTCTTATTAATCTGCATTTTTATATTGTTTCCCAGTAAAAATATCTAAACATTCTTAAAACAAGATAAACGTACTTTCTAAGCAAAGCTGTGTACGATAATAAGCCCCTTTTCTTGTAATAGTTATTTTTACTGGCAACATTTTAAGCATAACTCTTACTATTTTTGTATTTTTAAAGTAAAACATTGGGGTTAAGAAAAATGTACTTCTCTGAAGTCAGTTTTGCTAACTGATATTTTCAATGGAAATCAAGGCAATAACACTGATTATGAAAAATATTTTTTCGTTTTAATTCCTATGGTATGACCAATATCAATAGCACCCAAATTGATTCCTTTTATGACAAGTAAATGTAACAAAATACAATGTGTAAGGCGGCAGAAGAAACAGTCAATGCCTGTCTTCGGACTGCCACTTCTAAACAATCAGTAATGAGTTTAGAATAAACACAAATGAGAGTATGCATCACAAAACCAAATCTAACCCAAACACATCAACTAAACAAAATCCAGCTTAACATTTGCAGTTATAAAATATACCCAATGAGTACTAAATGAAAAGCACATGTAAATGGAATAATGTGCACAGACTTTCTTCTCTGTAAGCCCTGTATCATTTAACAAATGATGATCAGCAGATTGGACGGGATTGTTGAAAGAAAGAACTATGTCTGCAGTAGTATTGTAAGCAAATCTAAACAGAGTTACTAACATATTGGCCACTTCATTATTGAGCATGTCTGAAAGATGTGACAGATCATCTCCTGACAAACAGCAGGAAAACAACTGCTCTGAATTTAGAAAATTAATGATCTGAATAATTTCACATAAATCACATGAGATCCTGACACAAAACTCTAACAAGAGCACAACTCCAACGATGCACCTCAACAGAACACATGATGAACATCCATTGGTTCTACTCACAAATCACAGTAAGGGGTGCTGTCTGAAAGAGTCATAAACAGCATGAAATAAACTCCTTTAAAGCAGGGTTCAACGATAAGCATGACCTGCTGACCCTGGCCAGTGTGAACGAGTTTAGGACCACTTGACGCAATTGATACTTGCCCTATCAGGTCACAGCTGCATTGTCATTACATCTTACATTTGTTTTTATGCTTTGAAGACTTGTTTTGACCATTTCTATTACAAATTCTGATCATTTACAGTTGTTTTTTGTCATAAGGGTAAAATGTTTTCTAGCTGGCAAAAATACAGGTGCATCTCAATAAATTAGAATGTCGTGGAAAAGTTAATTTATTTCAGTAATTCAACTCAAATTGTGAAACTCGTGTATTAAATAAATTCAATGCACACAGACTGAAGTAGTTTAAGTCTTTGGTTCTTTTAATTGTGATGATTTTGGCTCACATTTAACAAAAACCCACCAATTCACTATCTCAACAAATTAGAATATGGTGACATGCCAATCAGCTAATCAACTCAAAACACCTGCAAAGGTTTCCTGAGCCTTCAAAATGGTCTCTCAGTTTGGTTCACTAGGCTACACAATTATGGGGAAGACTGCTTGCACTGAATTTATTTAATACACGAGTTTCACAATTTGAGTTGAATTACTGAAATAAATGAACTTTTCCACGACATTCTAATTTATTGAGATGCACCTGTAGATTGTAAGCAATTTCTCTGAAATTGCCAGAATCAGGAAACATCATTCAGAAGAAACAACCTGGTCTCATAAGAAGACATAATATTTGCACAAGACATTGTTCATTTGCATAAGAAATTGTAGTTGGTTTGTACAAAAACATAAGACCCAAACCTAACCCTAGCCATAAAGTCCAACCCTTTACCAAAACTCTAGTCTTGCATAGACTGACGGCTGAAGGTCTGGGAACCTTGGCCGCTTTGAATGGCCAATGATCGCCCAAGAGGCCATATGACTGACAGGCATCTTTGTTTTCAGGCAGAACTTTAAAGAACGTGACACACACATCTCTCGGAAATACCGTAGAATTTAACCGATCAGATGACGACTTCGAAACTCCTAAAGTGTTTCCAATTTTGTGTGCCATATGCATCAGACATTCATCAGACATTTTTTTCTGGGACAAAAAGTTGCGATTGAACACACTGCAAAGACTACAGCCAACTGCCAATTATCATGTACGTTCTGCTCCTGTGTGAGAGGAAAAAACTATCTGTACCAGCAGGTGGCAGTAGTCTATATTCATCTGCTGTTACATCACAATTTTGTTGCATTTTGTATAGCTGCCTGAAGTGTACACATGAGTAGACCAGCTCCCTCAGTCCAAATCAAGGGGTCAAGGATCTGCACTTCCAAATTGCGGCTGAGGGTAAGCGATTAAGGAATTTTGCAAGGGTGTGTCTAAGAGTGAAGTGGAACGCACCCTCTGCGGATATAGAATCTGTAAGCAATGAAGGAATTGCTTATCATTTTGAATACGAATTATGCTGATCAGTTGCGCTTTACTTTCTTCATTCTAGTCGGACTTAGCGTGTCATGGCCTTTGCATTGCATTTATGGCTCATATGAGTGGCTTTAAAAAGTGGGCTGCAGAAATGGACGCCCATGAGCAAAGGTGGCAGATTTCACAGTTGAGTAATTTTGGAGGGTTCTGAACCACCGCAATGAATGGGAATGCTAACACCTAGCTTTCTCCATGTATATTAATCCTCTTTGGTCAAGGCCTACTGTAAAAGTCAAAGGAAAGGCCCTGTTACAGGCCTTAAAGGGATATTTTGTGTTAAGCCTACGTCATCCGCTGGAACGCCACTCTCTCGTGTACACGCATACGAAAGTTAGCGGAAGCTAGAGTATACGGTACGTAAAGTTTTAAATATGGATATTTTTCTTTAAAAACCCATCAGTTTGCTTCAGGGGTTTTTTATTAACCCCTGAAGCCACGTGAGGCACTTTTTTATGAAGGATAGATGCACTTTATTGGACTTCTATTGGACTATTGAATACCAACAGCCATTCACTGCCATTATAAAGCTTGGAAAAGCCAGGACTAGGCATGGGACGATAACCGGTTTCAAGGTATACCGCGGTTTGGAAAAGTCACGGTTTCAAAACCACTAAAAATTTCCGTTATACCGTTCCTGCGGTATGTGCAGTTTTTTTACGTGTCGTCAAAGACGGAAAGTGCAGGACTCCCTCAGTTGTGTGCAGCGAAGAGCGTAGCGAGTCACACGACCCCTCCCCCTCCGGTTGGTGTTAGCGGTCAGAGTCACCTGTGTGTAGGATGGCCGAAGGAGATGAATCCCTGGAACTTTTTCCCCCGTCGAAAAAGACGAAGTCTATTGCATGGGAATTTTTCAGGTAACGTAGACTAACCATGTTCCGTACACAACGATGTTCCGTACAGATGATGTTTTAGCGCCGATCGCTAAATAAATACTTCCAAGTCGAACATAAACTATTCAGTGTTGAAATAAATACTATTTGGCTTGCTACCGAGGCAGATAACATGGCTAATTAACTAGCTAACGTCAACTAATTTCCTCCCTCACATTACTTCACAGAGTGAGGAATAGCAGTGTAAAGTACGTACTGTAGCCTACTTTTCTGCGATTTAGTACAATAATTAAATTTAGCTGGTATCACGTCTATACTTTTAAGCCTCCTGCCATTGTTTACATCTGTTCAAAATCACGCATTTAAAAAAAAAAAAAACTTTGCCACTGTTTGGGTGTTGTACGGAGAGACCACGCGCGCGTGTGTGTGTGTGACACTCGCGCTCTCTCTTTCCTTATGTGTGTATGTGCACACATCCTCGTACCTCACCGCTCCAAACCATAGCTCCAAACTTAATCCGGGAAAGGTGAACATTCCTGCATCATAACTTTGACTGAAAGATGAATGTGTAGAAAGCGATCATGTCTCCAAAAACCTTGTTGAGCTGCAGGTTTATGCATGCATTTTTTATTAATTTTTTATTTTATTTTTTACAGAAATTATGTTTTGATTATATTTTTGATTATTGAGCTGCAGGTTTAGGCTCACTTAAGTGACTGCATTTTTTTCATTTATAGGGATTTTTTTTTTACAGAATATAATTTATTTAGGTTCTGATTATTGTTGAGCTGCAGGTTTAGGCTCACTTAAGTGACTGCATTTAATTAAGAAGAATTTAATTATTTATTCTAATTATTTAGCCTGACATGTTTACTGTTCCAAAATGTTCTATATGTTTCTTAAAAATAAAATGTGTTCAGTGGAAAAAAAAGTTGTTTTTTTACCCAGACATTTAAAAATAACATATTTTAGAGCTGTAATTGCAATACCGTGATACCGTGAAACCGTGATATTTTTTTTATATCTAAGGTTATCATACCGTCAGAATCTAATACCGACCCATGCCTAGCCAGGACATTTTTTAATATAACTCTGATTGTGTTAGTCTGAAAGAAGAAAGTCATATACACCTAGGATGGCTTGAGGGTGAAAAAATCATGGAGTAATTTTCATTTTTGGGTGAACTATCCCTTTAATGCTCTGTAGCGTTAAAACAGTGGATGCATTAGAAATGGAGCTGTAAATGGAGCACTTGAATCAGCATCAGTTCCAAGAAACAGGCTAAAATCTACCAAAACTTCCTGTTCCCCATGAAATTGATGTCAGAATAAAATGTCAGTGGAAAGTAGAATGTCATATACTGGAAATCATATTTTACACTAAAGATAAGAGCAACGGCTAGAGAAGAATTCCAGAAACTCTCCAGCTAAGATGACTTGATCATGCAGCGGATAGCCAGAGAAATCTGACAGCAGAGGGAGAATGTGCTATATGGACTGCCTCACATATGGTAAAAACATCAAACATACACTCAAGAACAAAGGCATTTTTCATGACTTGTTTAAAAGATGATGGCTGTTGCATTTCATTAATGTCTGACACAGAAGCACCATATGTTACATGTACATGAATGAGTTCAAAATGAGATAAAATGAGAAAATAAACAGTTCATGAATTAGACTGAATGTGACAGATAATATGAACCTCCCACCACATAAATTATGTACAGAGCAGATGTGGGAATTCTAGACACACCTTGAATAAGAACCAATACGTTTAGACTACTTGATTGAAACAAAAAGCCAAAAAAGTGCGCATGCTGGTCCTTCGTGTCATGCATACTCAATGCCTCAAAACCTAAATTTAAGTGACGATTTTACATTGCAGGAACAGACCACCAACATTATGTATGTTAGAAATAAACACAGGAACTATCCAATATTAAAAACTCTAAACATCTACAGTCAGTAAACTCAGTGACATCCAATCAGGCACAATGCCATTCAACTGAGGTTGGAATCAAATACAAAACATATAGAATTGTGCAAACAATGGCTTCTGATTTACTACAGTAAAATAAACCGACTCAGACCAGTTATATGTTGTTGATCAAAGGCTCCTCCATATGTCATCCGAATATTGTTAACTCTGGCAAATAAGGACCACACTGCTCCTAAAAATATAGTACCTGTAGCCTCTTTCACCTCTGACTCATGGAAAACTCCAATGGGTTGTAACATTAGAGGTCTATTTATCCAAGTCCTGTCAAGTATCCTCAAATTTTATTGCAAGGCAGTGTGAGGTCTTTGGACTTCAATGAACCCATGTGCTCATGTAACGTACAGGATTATGACACAGATGTCAAGACCAAGGTAAAACTGAACAGACATTTTGCAGATGCACATTTCACATGCTGATCAGGCACTAAAATTCATGAATGAAAAATCTGACTTACCTGCAGACTGTGCTTGTGCAAACCTCAGACAGCACGTACAGTAAAGAACCATGCAGAGAAAGACAGCTCTCCTGTAAAAAAAGAGAAAAGAATTACATATACAAACTGAACAGATCAAACATTTAGCTGATATTGAAATGTGATTTTACAATGACTCTTGGCAACTTCACGACTCAAGCAATAATATAAACAGTAGAGACAACTTAGTAGAATGAATTTGACACATGTAAAATAGGACTGGAACTAAAGTGATTTATTTCCAATCATTTTGATTCAACTTTTTCTAAAGTTAATTTTCAGCCATTACCCACAGTTTTAAACCACTGCAGAATTACCCAGACAATGCATTTGAAATAAAAACAGTTTTACACAATACCATTCAAATGTTTGGGGTCGGTACATTTATGCTTTTGAAAGAAATTACTTATGCACACCAAGCCTGCATTTATTTGAGAAGGGTTTGAAAGTTGCTAAATCTAGTGCTAAAGTCGCGCTCGTGTGTGTGTGAGACGCGGGAGCTGATGGCATGGGGCGGTGGATATTTGTGGCAGTCAATGTGGATATTGTAGATGAGTTCTTCTGTGTCATCACGTTCTATTAGTTCTACAGCTTCAGTTTCGGAACTTTCACGCTTAGTAACACATACAGCTGTTCCCTCACCACAGTGCAACAGTGAAAAGGGACCCCTTTCAAACAGTGTCGCGTTCCGAACGTTGTTTAAGCGACATATTGCGACGTATTGCGACGTATTGCGGTATTTAAAAAATTCATATCATAACAAAAATAAAACACCGGTATTCGGTATGAACCGGTATACCGCCCAGCACTAATGGTAAGGGGCGTAACATTTCCGTCACACGCTTGAGGTATTCGGCCAATCACAACACACTGGATAGCTGGCCAATCAAATCACACCTCGCTTTTCAGACCGATGAGCTTTGTAAAAATCGACGCGTTTCAGAAAGGCGGGGCATAGAGGAAAAACAATATTGTACAGTATGTGGGAAATAATGTGTTTTTTTAACCTTAAACTGCATAAACACATTTCATTACACCAAATACACAAAATAATGTTCTTTTAAGCAGCATCATATGACCCCTTTAAAATGTATAATTTGTTCCTGTGATGGCAAAGCTGAAATTTCAGCAGTCATTACTCCAGTTTCAGTGTCACATGATTCTCAAAAAATCATTCTAATATGCTAATCTGGTGCTTAACAAACATTTATTATTATCACTGTTGAAAACAGCTGTGCTGCTTTAATTATTTTAATATTTTTGTGAAAACCATTATACATTTTTAGGGATTGTTAAATAACCTGAAATTTCAAAAGAACAGCATTTATTAGATAGCAATATTTTGAAACATTAAATGCATTGACTGTCACTTGTGATCAATTCAATGTTTTCATGCTGAATAAAATGATTAATTTATTAAAATAAATCTTACTGACCCAAAACATTTGAACAGTAGTTTATATCCTAAAAGTTTTAATATATTTAAAATATTTCCCACATGAATGCTGACAAGAAATCTGTAATGAAAGTGTATGTGTCCAATCTCTCAAATTAATCTTAAAAGTCCAACCACAGTGTATTCCAACACTGAGAAAACAACAATGCCTCTCAGAGAGTCATTTCATACCCAAGAAAGATCAAACCAAAGAACCAAAAAGCCTTTGCCACTTTTTTCCCTCAGCTACCGAAAGAAAACAAAGTATTGGGATCACATTGTTCCATTCTACACTAAAGCATCACCACATCCATCTAAATTACCAGTCTAGTCAGTGTCCAAAAGCAGCGCTCCATCTGCCTGTAGGCCCAGTAACACTTGGCAGCAGCAGCCTTTACTGTAAAGCCCTAACAGCTGTCTCTGCTCAGTAGGCAGTCAAAGCTTATCATCTGCCTGGATGCCAAAAATTTGTGATGCTCCATATAGAAAGTGAGTGTTTCCTCTCAATATGCCAAGGCTGTGAAATTCGGAGAGCTTCATTCTAAGAGCTCTGAAATAAATTTAATCAATTAATACAGCAAAAGGAGTGCAGTGATGTATGATCAAAGCTAAAACCATTAAGTAAAGCCCCTCAAAATATTTAGATTAGTGCTGAACAAATATGTGCTGATTTTTAAATTATTCAAGGGATAGTTCACCTAAAAATGAAAATTCTGTCATCATTTCCTTGCTCTCAAGTTGTTTAAAACCTGTATTTAATTTCTTTCTTCTGTTTAACACAAAATAAGATATTTTTAAGAATGTTGGTAGCCAAACAGTTAATTCTAATCTGTAGTATTGGGAAAAAAACAAAACAATTGTAATTGTGCTCTAAGTGGTTCTGCAATGTCATAAAAATTCTAATGGAGACCCCAAAAAATGGCTTGACGAGTCCAGTTTTCTTTCCTGTGTTGATGTATTTCCTATTGAAACAGGAAGCTGAGGTTAAAGTGGGCATGTTAAATGAATGCCCATGTCCAAAAACACCCAATATCCTTTAGTTTACAGCTGACAAACATGATTTTCTACTTGCTATTGCTAGCCAGAAGTGGTATTGAGGGAGGAGACATTATCATTCTACAAAAGAATTTGATAAGAGGACTGAACTTGCATAATGCGTTTAGCTGCTAAAAGTTCATTTTTATAACATTTAGGGGCACACTGGCATTTAGAGGGTCTTAAAGCTAAAACACATGGACTAAAAGCCAAAATAGCTCTATGGGTTTCTAATACTGAGGTAATTATTTATAATGAGAGTTGATCAATGATGATAAGCAAAGGTCGTACTACATGACAATCTTAGCCTCTCCTCCATCACTCTGGTGTTCATTTATATATTCTTTTTCTGCCCCCATGTGCTGACAGTGTGGATGTGGGAATGCCATTCGTGACCAGATATTGTACTGTATGCAGTTTTACTTTAGTCAGCATTTTCAGTCATAGCCACAAGAACTGTACGCTTGCCATGCTGCCCCCCTCCCACTCATAACCACTTCCATACAGTCCCACCACGGACCATGATACAGTTCAGAGAGTGCAAGAGAAAGCGAGAGAGTACTAATCTAAACACAAGATTTCACCCCTGTCACCCCTAACAAAGTTTACTACAACGGTAATTGTATCCAAATGCAGTCAAGATTTGTAACAGCTGATTTCTCTATGCCAATTCCACATATGAGAAATGTTAGAAAAAGACCAAACATGTATATTTTGAGAAAAGCTTAAGCCTATATGGTAGAACAGGATATATAGCGTATAGTTGCTGAATTACTTCCATATCACAATGTCCTTTAATAACCGCTGAAGGCCTTCATGCAATTCTGTAGTACAATACTACTGTACATGCATGTGTGTGTGTATATATATATATATATATATATATATATATATATTTATATACGTTTGCCAATGGTGTAAATATTATTAAAATGAAAATAATAAAATATTAATGAAATTATTCCACAAACAGTCATTGAAAACAAGACTTAATATGTTACACAGCTTTCATTTCAAGTAATTTGATTTTGTTTTTAAGATTTTTTGATAGTTTAGATATATTTTATTATAAAAATTAGAAAATAAACAGCTGACCACGGCTGGTCATTCATTCCAGGAAGAGACTAAAGAAATATGAAAATCATTTTCTATTCTAAAACTCAACCTAAATCATTACAAAGCATAAAAAGCAATTAATTCATTAATTAAATCAGTAAAAAGAAGTTCATGCAAAACAAATACGTAGCCTATGATTTTCTCCAGCAAATTATTTACTTCTGGAAGAAAGCTGTTCAACAAGTTTTCTGTGTTCCATTCATTCATCAAGTTTCCCCAAACTCCAGAATGGACATCATAACGGACCTCCCTTCGTGAACTCATTCTTCCTTATGTAACGGAGCTGACAGCCAAAAGGCTAATTTATGACCTATTTAACGTTTGTGTGAAATCTATCTATCTACTGTCATACTCACCCCCCGACTCCAGCTGCTTTGAGTCTGGAGTTCAGGGCATTGTCCGGCTCCATCGCGCTTACTTCATTCTTCCTCGGGAGTGTTTGCTGCTGCAGTCAAGACATGACAGAGTTGCTGAATTACTTCCATATCACAATGTCCTTTAATAACCGCTGAAAGTCTTCATGCAACACTAATACAATACTACATGCCGTGGTCTTTCCTCCCAAGTGTCAAATGTAGTACTACTTTCCAAAGAGAGGAACCTGCGAGGCGCGATGCATACTTCCCCATCTGACAGCAATAGATCCGATGATGATGATGAAAACTGGAAAGCTAAGTCCAAAGCGGCACAGATATGGTTTGCTGAGGTGAAGTACAAGCGCTTAGTCAAGTCGCTGACTGAATCTTACTTCGTAGGCATGCTGAAGATTTGGGACACTGGAAGCATAATTCCCTCTGTCGCCCTCAACTGTCTTCTGAGAAAGAAACACTTCGCTCGGGAAACTAGAAGGGATTCAATGGAAGGTGTGTCTTTCCAAAAGGAACCCGTTTATTTTCGCTTTCGTCAAAAAAAGAAAATGAAAAAAGAACAGAAAAGAACGTCACATAAGAGTAAGACTATTTAAATACAAAGCTGGTCATTTATCACAGATGTGGATCATTCTCCAACTTGCTTTTCATGGTGATTTGGCCATTTGCTCTTGTGAAATTTTATCTCGTAAGGGTTATTTAGCTTTCAACAAGAAGAAATATATATATATATATTTTTACGCCTTAAAGGCAATTGCAAAGTCTTTTAATTCAGTGCACATAAGGAAGTTCACAGTCAAAGCAGGACAGCATGTTTCAAATGGAATATGTTTTAGAAATAAAGTTAAATAAATCTCCTTTAAACTTAAAGACTTTATCCAGCAAATTATACTATTTATTGTGGTGTGGAATATAGAATTATAAATGAAAATATTCAATGTTTACTTTTTGGCTACTATTTAATAATTTATTATGTATTTTTAACCAAATTTTACATTCATAAATTCCATATTACTAATAAAAAAAAACTATAAAAAACCAACCTTGGTTCCTCTTCAGGAACTCGAGTGCTATGTATTTATGTGTGTGCCATCCATCCATCCATCATCTCATACGTACATACGTGTGTGTGTGCATCATTAGGGGCTCATCAAAATATGTATTTAACTGTGGGTTTTTGGATGACAACTTGATCTTGTCATAGACTTGCTCAGATCCTGTGTCTGAATGTAGTGTGCTGGTGCCATCCTGTGCTGTGAAATTCCTCCAAAAAAATAATGTCCTAATTGGCTGGCCTGCTTCAAACACAAGTGACAGTATCCAGCCTTCTTCCAACATACAGTAGCAGGCATTCAACTATGAAACAACATAAGCAGGGTGCACAAGGTGAACAAATGACTGAGGCTAGTTGTCACAACAGCTACATATCTTTAACAGCAGGACTTTTACTCAAACGTCCAATACAACATATGCGTGTGTTTTCCCTAGCTTTTTTTATGCTGGTTTGTGCATCTATTCAAACCTATCTTAACTTACAACGTTTTTGTGAATCGTCCAAAAATGTATTTCAGTTGCTGTTTCTGTTCGTAATTGCGGGATACTGGAAAAAAGTCACATGAGAAGAGGCAACCTCTACGTTGTTGTCACTGGCTGATTAATTTGTCTGCGACAATGCTTGCTTACACGCTAGCGCACCACAAAACAGCACTTCTCATTACTTCTCTCACAAAATAATTGCTTATTAACATGCTAACGTAGCACTTCATGATGCACTTATATCATGAGAGAATTTTCATTTTTGGGTGGAGTATCCCTTTTAGAATTCTCTGGTGTAGAGCAGAAAAGATGATTCCTTTAAGCAGGTTGTTTCACAACAACAAAAATGGCAATACAATCACACTGCCATAATCACAGTTTACTACTGAAGATGATGTTCTGTAATGCTGTTTTTTCTTCACTCAAGACATAAGAAGACCTACATCCTCCAAAAACTTTTCATTTTTGACTCATCTGTCCTTAGAATATTATCCCAAAAATTTTGGCCATCATCCAAATGGTTTTTAGCAAACATGAGAAGAACTTTGTTGTTCTTCTTGGTAAGCAGTGGTTTCTTAAGGTTGAGTTATGACATTGACCTTAGCCAATGCTCGAGAAACCTTTATCAGAGATCGTTTGAAGCCCTTGTTGAAATTTGACTGGTTGGCCAGTGCTATTTTAACTCAACATGACAGGTTGCAGTCAAGCCCGACTGTGTTAATCTCCCAAATCCAATTACAAACTCTAACCTGCCTGATAAACCTTTTAATTACTTGTTGGATTATAAAACGAGGAAACTATATCAATAATGCAGATTTCAGCTGCACTGGCTTGTGAATGTGAAACTGATGCATATTTGAGCCTTTTACTACCTGTCATACAAAGGGCAGCATAAAGATCTCTGTAACTGCTTACAGGTGCCAATTTAGTTTTATTTTGTATTCTTGGCAGAAGGATAATACTGGAAGCCTGTTCATTTTATGTCTTATTATCATAATGAATTTCACAAGTTTAACCTGTGCTCAGAGGGTTTTGTAAACAGATATGATGGAGCCAAGTTTGAAGTCCATAGCAAATGCTGTACATTAGTGAAATGACAAAGTTGCATTTACTTGCATTAATATCTTGATGGCAGATGAATATGTTTGGAGTTTGCACATTAATATAGAAATGTGATTTCCCAGTAAATTTAAATTGAAGCACATCCTCTAAATGAGTAAAATTGCCTATAACAGTGCCTTATTATTAATTGCACACTGTAAGACAAAATTAGTGTAACAGATATTCGCAAACAGCAGCAATCGCCATTTTAAAAGAACAAGACTTTAACTGCAGCTTAACTTTAGTAAACACCATGCACAATACCACCACAGAGCTAAAGCATCTGTCTGTGGTACAGATACTCAACAAGTCCACTCCTGTTGGAGTATTTATTCTTTCCACATATGTAAACAGGAAATTTGGAAAAAATTGTCTGCTTTCCCACTGAGGTAGATCTATAAAGGGCAGAATCCTAGCCCAGCAATGTTGTTATTGTCGGAGTTGTGAATGTACCAGCTGTGGCAATTGACCTACTTCTATAACTCCAGGATTTTTAGACTGCAAGTTGAGAATATTAAAGGTCCTAATTACAATAAGAGGCAGTTTGATCTTCAATACAAAGTGTGTTTTCGCTCAGGGTATAGTATTATGTGTAATTTTGAACTTTCATCCAATGGAAACCCTTACTGCCATAAAATATGTTTCTTTTTCCCTCTTTTACGGACCTGATTAACGGACACTGGAAGCTTATGATGTTAGCTGGATCAGAAGGGCCTATGAAGGGGCTATTTGTCAGAGAGGCATTTCAGGTATTTGAGGCTGTAAGGTATTTGCATAGGTCCTACTTGTGAGAAGGTGTAATGTTGGGCCAGAGTCAAAGAAAAGGGGGTTAGTGTGAGGTCATTCCTCCTTTTGAGTCTCTTTCTTCTGAAATGTGAACCATAACTGACACAAACATAAATGGTGCTCATTTTTGCAAATCTCGATCACGGAATTGCTGAGGAAGTCCATTTAAACTGACTTAAAACACAAGACATAAAAGCATGACTTCAGTTATTTCTCTGTTTTTGATAGCTTCTACAGCTATGGGAAGATTTAAAGGGGTCATATGATGCGATTTCAATTTTTCCTTTCTCTTTGGAGTGTTACAAGCTCTTGGTGCATAAAGAAGATCTGTAAAGTTGCAAAGACTAAAGTCTCAAATCCAAAGAGATATTCTTTATAAAAGTTAAGAGCTAACCACCCCTACCTAAAATGGCTCGTTCTAACATGCCCCCACAAATCTACCTCACTATGTGGGAAGATTTGCATAACGCTGCCCAAAT